ATTTGTGATATTAGGTGTTCTCAGGATCTAGCTGGAAGGATCATGACACCACTTTATGCTGTGTGGAAACTAAGGTAAGGTAAGGCATTTTCTAACTTTTTTTTTCCCAACCACATGTAATTTTTTTTTTACACTTGAATGGAGCAATCTAATATCGGGTAGGTGACCTTAATGTAACAAGCAGACCTTACTTATCAGTGCAAGGTTCGCTTTAATAGATTTATGAAAATGTTTTTAATTTCATTCTTTAACTGTCATAAATAACACATTTTACAGAATTTAACAATTAAAAAGCCTTATGTAAGCTGCATCATGCAAGAGAATTGTGTTCTTTCAGACTGTTTTAACTCCCTCAGCTTTTTAGAAAATGATTATGTTCCGTTCTCCAAGGCAAAACTAAAACACCTTCTATTTTTGTGCTTACTAGCTGTTTTGTTGCTGTGTTTGCTTGTTTGTTAACTGGTCTTCCTAAGATCAACATTTATTAGGTTTGTGTATGAAACCAATACAAAAAAGTATAGGGATACTGTTTGCACCATACAGAAAGTATTGTAGGTCAACTTATTTGTACTTGCCACATTGCTTGCTACAAAAGCCAACATCTAATCAGGGCAGTGTTCTTGGTCTCTTCCCTGGAGCACATAGTAATGGACTTTTCTGGTTTGGGGATAAAACTATAATGCTCCCTCTGGTGTCTAGCAGTCACCAGCATATCATTCAGAAAATGATAATGGAGGGACACTAGAGAGAGCATACATATTTAAAGAGCAACTCCATCTTTTGGACATGTTTCATGTTAGACCCATATTCATGGTCAGATCCACAGCCCCAAATGCCCCCCTCTGTTACTTGCATCCCATGATTCTTCTTGCATTATTCAGGCATCTTTTGAATTTGGGCTTCGGCCAAACAGCTGTGTCATCCATTCACAGATCCTTTCACAGGTACTGTTCTCAATGGAGCATTTAATGAGGTTGCTACAATTGTATGCCAACGACACTTATCCTGTTCTGCACCTGAATGTCCATACCTCGGTAATAATTGCTGTATAGTTTTATGGTTTATGTTTCCGTGTAAATGTGTTAATTTTATTGTGTATCATTGGGAGAGGCTACAATTTAATTTCTTTTTTAATGATTTTTGTTGTAAAATGATAAATTCTCTCAAAATTTTGAAAACCACTCAAAAAATGTTTATATTTCAGAGCATCCCTAATACTTTTGCAGATGAAGCAGCTATCAATAGAACGTATTTCTTCTTTTTCAATCACTGCACCCTCAAAACAGAGTCTGTGTTTCTTGCAAGCTGTACACCTTTCCTGTAATCTGTAAAAAATAATATTGATTGTGGTATACACTCCTTTTACTATTTTTTATACTGTTCCCTTCAATGACTACTGCAGCATTGTATCAAACTTTGGAAAATCACTTGTGTCTTAATAGGAAACAAATAACATTAGAATTGGGCTATTTTCAAAAAAGCCAGAACATAGCAGGATATCAATTTCTTGTAACAATACATTTAGAAGGCATTGAATGAAAATCCAATCAGTGGAGAGATACAGCAGAGTAGTTTTTAAGAGGCTGCTACGAGTGGTGGTGAAATGACATTGAAAGTCATTACGGCTGATAACACATTAGATTTTACACCTGCCATAGAGTAATGAAAGCCATGTGGTGTTCGCATATTACAAGGTTAGGCACACAACCCTACTACGATTGTATTAGTAACATTGCATTACATGGATACAATTAAAGTATTTTTGTTACATGGTTTTATATTTTATACATCACACATTGCATTGTATGCTAGATCTCTGTGACAGGACAGAATTAATAGCACCATTGATGCATTTTAATCTGTAGACCTGGGAAACCAGATTGTAATGCCCAAAACTGTGTCTCTCAACTGACTTTGGGGATAAAACCTGCCCACCACCATCCCTTTGTCCAATGAGAGTGCTAAGTGATAGCCACATGGATGGGCCATAAAGTCAGGGAAGTTAAAGGAGAATTATGAGGATGAGTGACTTTCACTCATCCTCATAGTTCGAGCCGACGTGTGGCAATTAAACTGTTGCACGTCGGCTCAATAGATCAGGGAGTGAGTGAACACATAGCGTCGCTCGCTCACGTCTCAATCATCTCCCTGCAGAGAGCCTTGACTGTCAGCCACAGCTCCCCACAGAGATTCCCCCCTGCCCGCTCCAATCCTCCAGCGCTGACTAGAAGAACAGACAGGGGAGGGGGCAGGCACAGCTGGCTCCGCCTCTAGATAGGCAGACCCAGCTGTCACTCACGCAGCTGGATGGATCTCTTTAGCATTGTCGGGACATGTCCCGGCTGCGGCGGTCTCAGTATACCGCGAGCTCGCGATATACTGAGCTTTGGGTCATGGGAGGACGTTAGTATACGTGACCCTTAAGAGAACTATGGGGGAAAACACTTACCCTATACTTCTCTTTTAAATGCTTAAAAAAGTGAAACCAGGTTTTGTGTCTTTTTGTAGCTGAAATCTCCCCCCCCCCTTGTCTTTTTTCTCTTTTCTCTGTCTTTCTTCTATCTCTCTAATTCCCCCTGATCCTGTTCTGCTTGGGGTTTATGTCATGTTACTAATGTTGTGGCATGTTTTATGCCTGAACCACTCGGCACTGTTTATCCGGCCGATGTTCCCCCTGGGTGCTCGATGTTCCCTATCCACGAACCTCCCCATCTTGCTGGACTACCTGCCATCTGTTTTCTATTGCCGGACAGTCCTCTTTGTGACGATAAACGGAGGTGTCTCTGGCTGCTGGGGGTTGTTGTTTATTTACTCATTTCCTTACCATTGTTTCTCCTTTATACAGTTTGGTATCCTTGATCTGTAAATTGAAAACTTTAAAAATGTATTGCACTAAAAAAAAGTGAAACCAGATAAACAGAAAGCACATTTACTTGATAAAGCTTAAAATATCTGACAGGTTCACTTTAAATGAAAGGCTAACTAAACCTAAAAACAAAAATGTAAAATATTGCTGCTCTGATTTTATTTCTTTATTTATTTTGGGTTTTCAATCTTTCTTTATTCTCTCTTGGTTGATTTGCCAGTTATAAACTTCCCGACGTAGGGTGACAACGCTCACTCATCCTACTGTATCAGGACAACAAGAGAAGGCTACAGAAACTTCTCCCTCTCTTCTTCTCCTTAACATAGATGGGAGGGGTTCTGTAGTCCTCAGAGATAACTGGAACAATGTAACTCATGAGCATTCAGCACAAGAAGCTATCAGTTGACCAGATTTTTGGCAAGGTCAGCAGATATTTTTTTGCACATGTCAATCTTATATAACAAAGTATTTTCAAGGGTATATTTAATAGACCAAAGGGGACCAATTAAGAGTGCATTTTTATGGTTTTCATTCCCTAAGCATCAAAACATCAATGACACTCTAAGAGTAAAGAGTACAAAGTAAAAGCTGAATTGCAGATCTTCGTTACTGTTGTGTGTTCCTTTTATGAGAAATATCAGCTATAAAACCTTTATTAACCACATATATAATTTGTTAAAGCTCTTGACCTGAGCTCTGTGTGCCATACGTACCCCATCAGAACAAGCCTTCTCCAATCCCTTTTAAAGGAGAACTATGGGGTTAAGAATTTTCCCCATAGTTCTCCTTAGGGTAACGGGAGGACACAAACTAGCATCCTCCCGTCGCGCTAAGCTGTATACCTGTAAGCTGTAGCTCACGGTATACTGAGACGCCGCAGCTGAAGCGGATCCCGCCAATTATGTCTGGATCCACCCAGCTGCATGAGTGACAGCTGGCTCTCCCTATGTAGAGGCAGAGCCAGCTGTACCCTCACCCGTCCGATCCGCCAGTCAGCGCTGGCGGATCGGAGCGGGGAGGGGGGAATCCAGCCCCTCCCCTGTCACGGCAGAGAGCTGTGACATGATCGAGAGGTGAGCGAACGTCGGTATGTGTTCGCTCACTTCTCGATCTACTGAGCCGACCTGTGACAGTCTCATTGTCACAGGTCAGCTAGAACTATGAGGTGAGTAAAAAACACTCACCTCATAGTTCTCTTTTAAGGTTTTCCATCAGATCTTTGCAAATAATTGTGCTTTTTGCCTTGTAATGTTATAATGGAATTATGCTTAATGGTAAAGTCAACCTTCATAAAAGAAACAAATGTGCATTTATTATTTTTGCATTGTAGCCAGTAAAGCATTGTAACCATAATCAGTGAATAGCAGGGGCAATGCTCTGGCCAGAAACAATGAATAGACTACAAGTGCGGTGACGTCACTGCATTTGTATTCCATAGAGAACTACCTCTGCGGTGGTTCCTGATGGGACTTGTAGATTCTCCATTCACAGGTCCTGGCAAAGGATCTCTGAATGGATGGCGGAGCCAAACACAGCCGCGTCATTTTAAAAAAAAAGAAGCCGAACCTTGCTACTTTAGAAGCATTCACTATAACAATTAGGGACCATACAAGTTGCTGGTGTAGACAACAAAAGCATATACCGTAAACTCCCCATTATCCGACATCCACGGGGATTGGTACATTCTGGTTGCTTGAGAGTTACTAATAAAAATAGGTCTAACTAATGCCATACCCCATACTATACCATAGCATAACATAAACTCTGTATTGACTTCATATTAATATTGGAAAGCAGTAATCAAAAGCAAATTAAGACAAATAGGCACAAGACCGTTTCCAGGATAATACATGCTGCAGATCAGCAAAAGAGTTCGATGAGACTTCTGGTTAGTTGAATACTGGATAACCGAGAGTTTACTGTACTTTTTTGCCAGGCCCAACAATTAGCAGTTTTTCTAATCACTATAGGCTTACATATTAAGGATACCATTTCACATTCACAGAGCGCAAAATGCATCCATTAACTCAGCTTTAACTGAACCTGGGAAGCAGGGAGAGGGATTATAACTTTCTAAGCCACGTTTGAGTTTTACATTTACATAATGTGTACTGTAAATGAGCTATGACAATAGAAATTGTTTTTACTGAATGTGGAAAAAGCAGCTCTGTATCTTGAGGTTGATGACAAAATTCGCCTGAAAACTGCCAATGCACAGCTTCTCCTGTTGCTTGACATTTTGCACTGCATGCTAAAATACACATCTGGTGTGGTACGACTGGTCATTCAGGTATGGGGAACAGAAAATGCTATTCATAGGGGAACTTGATATTCTGTATACTTTGGTCATAATCCATATACCCAAATTATAGCTTGAGACTCTGCAAACCTCTGAAGTATTTTCCTTCTTTATTTTCGGTTTCCAGTGAGAATTGAAAAACAGAGTAGCAATGTGTATGTTATAATATTCAATATTCAGCTGAGTTATTCTAGACTGTGTGCTTTGAGTACCGGAAGATGAGCAGTGGAAAACCATCTTTATACAGTAGGCCAGTGCGAAAAGCTAACATAAGTAAAATGTTTCTATCATTATTTGACAAGGTTTTGACTTAAAAGAGAATTAAAGTCAAACTTTTTTTTTTTTTACTTCTCTTTTGGGTCACAGAAATACATTCACCAATGTACTCCTGTGACCCAAAGTCAGCAGAAAGCAGTTACTGCCCGCTATATGCTAACATCACTGAGCAAAATTGTTGAGATCCACCCCGCTGCCTGACTGACAGCTGGCTCTGTCTGTCTAGAGCCAGCTGTGTCCCTCCCCTGTCTGTCCCTGCAATGAATGCTGGAAGAACAGAGAGGGGGAATTATTGCAGAGAGCGATGACTGCAGTCACTACTCTCTACATGAAGGAGACCATGAGCTGAGCAATCAGCAGTCACACAATTTTGCTCAACTCTCAAAAATCATTTTTATGCCTGTCTGTGTTGCTATTGGAGAGCTCCCTGCACTTCCTAAATAACGCATGTGCATTACATTTATGCATGTGCATTACAGAACAGTGTGAATCCAGACTAATAATAAAGTGGCTATATTTAATAAGATCCACACTGTAAATATTATGCTGAAGGAACTTTATTGTAGAACTTCAGGGAGAGAGGTTTAGGGCTTAGGGCATCCATAAGAAAATACAGACTCCAGACTCACCAGTTCCCTTCCAGTATTCCACAGTGTAGGATTAATGGGAGCACACGCTGACACTGGGCATTTGAGCAAAAGCTGAAGAGGGATAGGCATGAGATCAGTAGGAGAGACACCAGACTTGCTCTTGAGGTCCACTCTATTCCAGGCACCTCTAGGAGCCATTAGCTTCCCTGGTTCTCCTCAATCAGTATTAGGCCTCCTCCAGACTTGAGGCCTAGAGAAACATTTCCCACACTTGAGCATTCCTTCCCCCAGGCTTGGACTAAGACTCCAACCTAGGACAGAACTAGACTGAGCACATGGCAATACCCCTGAGTATATATGTCCGTACCCAGCATGTACTACTGGCCATGAAACCACCAGTGATTGGATAGCAAGCTTACACACTCGTAATGTCCTCCCACTGCAGCAGAGTCACGCCTCACTCAGATACAATCAATGCTAGAACACCTGGAATTAACCAGATAAATGCCAACTATAATTCAGCCAGACTGAATACAGCTCTGGCAATCACTACATTTCTAGTAGCTATTCCACAAAAGGTGGTGGGGGCTATAGAGGTAAAAAGTCTTGGCAGTAGAATAGATAAACTTCCACCTACATGTCAATGTTCTGAATTGCAACAATTCTTCCTTAGTCGTGGTGTCAGTTTATAGAATGAAGACATTAGTGATAGCACTGCACATGCATTCTGAAAATGCTAGTTCCCTGGAGGTCAAGCTGATACATTTGCCTTCAGCACTTTCAGAGTCGTTGACCCCGGACAAGTATAGAGATAAGGAATTTTGGCACTCATTTTCAGCATGTTTGTTCCGGGTATTTTACTCAACTTGTAGGCATGGTCTGGCAACAAGCACTTTATAAGTAGGCCAGCAATTGTAGCCCGTGTACTTCTCTCATGAAATAATCACTTTATGAATCAAAACTTTAGCTTTGTCTTTGTTATTCACTTTGATGCCATGTACTCTTTCTGGTAGCATTCTTAATCCAATGATACTTGTGAATGTATTCTTATGATAGTTAAAAAAAAGGTACATTTTAGAAATTACTTTCTTTCTTCACATGCAGGCTCAGAAGAGTGGCCAAGGAGGAGACGCTCAGGCAGCTGAAGAACTTCTGCTGGTCAATAAGTCTCTGACAGACATAATTAGTTTGCTCATCCAGCTGGTAATATCTTAGTTATATCATATTGTGAATTAACATAATTTCACACTCTCCATTTAGCTGCATGTTTTCCAGCCTAGTAGCTTGACAAGTTTGTATTGTACATTACATAAAATTGTTATTGAGATCAAAGCAATTAAAGGGCAACTCCACTTTAAAAAAACTAAAAATGAAAAGAATTGTTACAAAAATGAATATATCATATACAGGCAGTCCCCGGGTTACGGACGTCCGACTTACGGACAATCCGTACTCACGAACGGGGTCCACAGTTCTCCTAAATGTACCGGCGGCTGCTGGTACATTTAGGAGAACTGTGGCTGCAGTAATGTAAAAAAAAGTAAAAAAGTTAAATAAATGAAAATTAAAAATGCAAACAAATAAAAAAAAATTAAGTTTATAAAATTAAATTAAAAATAGAAAAAACTTTTTTTGGTGTCATTTTAAATAAAAAACATTTTAAATTATATTATAATCTTCTGAACAAGGGGAACAGACAGCAAAACAAACGTGTCCCTTCCCTATGCTATCCAAAACAAAATAATGTTTTTTTGGCTGGAGTTGCACTTAAAAATGTACCTGTTACGACTTACATACAAATTCAACTTAAGTACAAACTTACAGTACCTATCTTGTATGTAACCCGGGGACCACATGTATAATTGCTGCACAATTTTCATTTAAAACTGCAGCCCCTTGAATTGTCCAAAACTGTCAAAAAAATGCAGTGCAATATGGAGGCATTCTGTACAAAGCTGGTGTACAAAACACCCCAAAAAAGTAACTTTCTGCTTCTGTGATTGGCTGAATGATTTTCCCAAACGTGTGCACTAAGATACTGTACAAATAAACCTCCCTTGCTATAGGAATTTTATTCTGAGATACCCCCAATAGTAATTTCTACTAAAGGGATTCTGTCACTGCAACTTTCATCATTCGATTACAGAAAGTCCAGCAGCTGATTATAACAAACCCAGACACTCCTATTTAGGGACCAGTTTGGAAATGACCTTTTAACATCTGTGTGTACACAGAGTTCTTCAAGTATTCTATTTAGCATGCAGTGTATAATAATAAAGCCCCCCAAATATATTCAAAACACTAGGGATGCACAGATACTTTTCGAGTACCAGTGCAGATACTTGGCATTTTCATGAGAACTACCAGGGTTGCAGAGGTTGCAGCTGGGACCTGGCTCTGGCACTCCACCACTGTCCTGAAATCATTAGTCTGTATTGTTTTAGAAAAACTGTCACATGACAATAAACAAAAATGTATCAGTACTCATACTTGTAAGTACTCGGCAAGTACCAGTACTCGTACTCGCAAAACTGGTATCTGTGCATCCCTTTATTTATATTTATAAAAACAAAATCGTACATTAAAACAGAGATGTACAAATCCCAGGAGCTCCGTGTGCTCCTTACAAATGACAGCTGCCTCCTAATTTTGGAATTTGTCTCTACTGTAGTCTTGGAGCTCAAAAGTATCGGTACATGTACTCGTACTTGTACCGAGTACTGTACTTGGTATCTGTGCAACCCTACAAAACACTATACAGAGGGGGGAATTTATCAAAACTGGAGCAGACAGAATGTGGAGCAACCAATCAGCATCTCTCTTTAGTTTGCTCAGGTAAGATTTGAAACTGAGAAGCTGATTGGTTGCAGTGCAAATCTGCTCCAGATTTTGTCTGCTCCAGTTTTGATATATTCCCCTATTGTATTTTATATATGTATTTTTAGGGTATTGGCTGTCTCCTGTCCAGCCTTAGCCATCTCTTTTTATTATTATATTATTGCCTAATGTGTATCAGCTGTACTGAACTTTGCTCTTTTATAAAGACCTGCTTCCCGTGCTACACTTTGTGGTTCTTTCAGCAAGCTTGTATGTGCTGTAGTGGCGTACAAGTCAGCTGGAGCAATCATGGTGTATTGGGGAGGAAGCAGGTGTCTGATACCTGCAGTGGCCAGGGCTAAGCAATACGGCAAGGTTTTATCACACTGGCCACCAAAACGGTGAAAATATTGAGCATCTTGTTTAAAAGGGTGGCTTTATTTTATTTAGATTTGAAAATACAGTGTCAGAGTCACTTAAGTACACACCAAAGTTCACAAAGTACAGCTACTATACATTAGGCTCCTGTTATGAAATTGAGCCAGCAATGGTGCCTTTGTACGAACATTGTTTCACCAATAGGTTTGGCAGTTTGGTCACCTACACATATATGGGTTGGGGGCATTTACATATTTTACTCCAGTTCCTACTTCCAGCACAGCAGGTGTTACAAAGTGGAAAACTAGCAAATCTGATCTGACAGTGCATAGAATGGATTGATCATTTCTTGACCATCAGTATGAGTAGATTTTAAAACGTGCCTATTTTTATTGCTGCGTTATTGCAGAATAACGCAAAATGTGAAATATTAAGAGTCACGGCCAAGATAGAATTTGTATATTGCAATAGTATTTGTTCAATCAGAATCTGGTGTTAAAAAGAACAGGACTCATATTATATTGTCTAGTTGGTGACTGCAATTTTTATGTCCTATAATAACTTTAAGGTGGCTGTTCATTAGGCAGAGTTAGTGGGAGAACAGAAGTTGTCATTGAAGGATATTATACAATTTATGGTCACAAATCAGACAGTGTTCCTGTTTATCCGATTAAATCATCACTCGACACCGGACCAGTGCAGACATGGCAGTAAAAAATAGATTAAAGCTTGGATGTTTTGTGACCCTTTAGCTTTTCCTATCACAAGTTTACATCAATCAAAGGTGTAGCACAGTGTGACAAATGAATTGGACATGGGTACGATTTGTGTTCATACTTTTAACCTAAGATTGCTGAACACTTAAAAAAAAGTAAAATTACATTTGTATATTTCTAAAGATGTTTAACTGAGCATTTAGTTGAAGTCCCATTTTAAAAAGGTTGACTGTCTTTCAGCTCCTGTTGACAGGGTTTTTATCACTTTGTAATTCCATTTGGTAAAATTCCCAGTAGTAAATGCTATGGCAGCTTTCAGCTTATTCCAGAAGGCAAAGTAAAGTGTTTGTGTGTGTATGTAAGAGATTTTGGTTGTTTTTGTAGCAATTATATTTAGTAATATAATCGAATCATAATATAATAGGCCCTCCCCTATTGTATTTGGAAAAGGCATTTCAGTGGAGATGTACTGTCTGTAGTTTAACTTCAGTACATGTATTAACTTCTCAAAACAGCATAGACTTTAATTATCTTAGCTATAATGTCACATTTCTGTAAACCTGGTAGCTTGACAAAAATAAGCATTTTCCTGGTATCCTTCCTGTTGATGGGTTAATAGGTGACATGTTTAAAGAGCTTGCATAATCTGGTGAAGAAGGACCCACCTTGTTGCATTTATTGATGGTTTTCTCCAGGATATGTATCAATAATTAAGGCAGCAGTGCATAAGAAATCAATGAAAAGACAAATGGAGCCTGCTTTAATATTTAATAGTTTTTGATAAAACCTATAGCAATACAATTAAACTGAATAAAAAGAATTTAAAAGTAGGCCTTGTCCAGTTAAATGTTAAAGCCCTCATGGTCATTAAACTCTGTCCACTCTCTAAGCTAAAAATAAAGCCTTCAATTGGAAAAGCTTTCATGTAAAGTTAGGGCTAATGCAAATCAGATGAAGGGAAATCAGTGGTAATAGCTTTCATAAACTAATAAGACTAAAGCATAGCTGTCAGCTTTCGTGTGTAATGAATGAGACTTCAAGACAACTGCAACTGGATTTTTTTAAAGAACCTTGTACTTTTAATTAGCTCATGCTACTGTCTGAATTATTCCTGGTGGCCAATATTTTTTCAATAGAACACCAGTTTCCCAGGCATTTAGAAAGCCCTCAGTGTATCATGATCCGCTGCCTGGCTTCCTGATAATCTCGGCACACGGCACTGGTATCGGTATTCGGTGAGTACCAAAAAATATATATTGGTACCCGTACTCGATAATGAAAAAACTTTATCGGTGCATCCCTATCCAGAAGGATATTTTACTAAATAATTAACAGCATGAAAAAGCCAACATATTTTTGGGTTCACTCAGGGTTATCCGGATTTAAGCTTAATGTGACTTTGGCGGTGCCTGGACTCAAAATGGTTACTAACTTTGTATAGATCTCATGTGAAATGTTAGTATCAGCAGGTATTGCAGCATAAAGCTCATGCTTTTCCAAGACCTCCTTTCCCTGTTTGGAGGTGCATTTGTCACATGGGAGCAGCCTCAACCAAGCAATTCAACTTATTGTAATAAAATAGACAGTCACTTACATTTTTGGATATTGCTAATGGATGATCTAGTGCCTCTTATATATGTACTCGGAATTCTGCAAATGTCAGAAGTAGGGATGCACTGATACCAAGTACCATACTCGGTACAGGTACAGATACTCTTGGAGCTCCAAGACTAGATTAGAGAAAAATTCAGGAGGCAGCTGTAAATTGTAAGGAGCACACGGAGCTCCTGGGATTTGAACATCTCTGTTTTATGGTATGATTTTGTTTTTATAAATATAAATAAAGGGATGCACCGATACCAGTTTTGCGAGTACAAGTACTGATACTTGCCCAAGTACTTACAACTACGAGTACTGATACATTGTTGTTGTCATGTGACAATTTTTTCTAAAACAATAGACATCAGGACAGTGGTGGAGCGCCAGAGCTAGGCCCCAGCTGCAACCGCTGCAACCCTGGTAGTTCTCATGAAAATGCCAAGTATCTGCACTGGTATCTGGAAAGTATCTATGCCAAAAGTGCAATTTTTCTGCTGATACAGCAGCGCATCCCTGCTTTCTTTCCTCCCCGCTGGGCGCTGCTCTGTGTCCCAGCGGGGAGGAGAGAAAGTGACAGCCGGCCGAGCGCTGCGGGAGGAGAGCGCTGTGTTTGTGGGGTTTTTTTTGGGGGTGGGGGCCCAAAAAAAATCTTGCACCAGGGCCCTTTGTTCCTTAGCTCTGCCACTGGATGCA